AAAAGAATCAACGTATAATATCTGAAATTATAATTGTATATATTATTGATATAAAAGAATCGATAATACTTTTTAAATGGATTGCACAATATTTCTCTTAATTTCTCACAAGTTTTCCTCTTAGATTCCTTGTATTTGAATCCCACATTTTCATTGTGCAATGACCTATTTTATAAGAGATTGTCAAGTGATATTTTTGTATTTATGACATTTTTGTTTAGGAACACTTCATTTTCATGCAAAGGCATGATGCATTAACATCAAAGTCGACTTGTCAGAATTGCACTGAGATGAGTCTCGTCCAAATTCAGTGCTATTCGAGACCTTTAATCGTGTTTATGATCAAGTGTTAAAATTCTACACATTTCTTTGTTCATACAAGTCTCTACGGTCGAGACATTTCTTTATTTAGGTAAGTTTCAACGATCAAGACATGAATGTTTATTCTATGACACATGAGCAAGCCCGCAACCTGATCCCTTATTGCAATAGACGTGACATTCAATTGGATTAGAAATATTCTTTTGTCCACGGTGAGAAATCTTATCTTGTCCACTTGAAGAGAAGTTTACTTACTATTCTCCCACTTGAAGTATGGTTCTCTTGCCACATTAGCAAGTCGACAGTTTGTCCTGTCCACACAACAATTTCGTCAATTGGATTGTAATAATTTTGGACACAATTGTTATATCTAAAAAGATATAAAATAATGCATAATTTATTCAAAAAAAAAAAAAATTCCAGAAGCTTTGCGAAATTCCTTGTCCGTTCCATTCTCTTGTCATGTCAAGAGATGGAGACCTGGCCGAAATTCCGTAAACCGCCCTTCCTAAATATATTTTTTCCCAACTACTCTAATACTGTTTTTATAATTTTATTTATTTAAAATTATTTTTTAATATCAGATTGCACGTTTTGTGTAAAATGTCTATCCTCGTGAAAGTTTAGAATTCAAATTATTGACTTATAAGCAAAAATTTTGGAAAATCAAAGTAATGTTGCATAATTTCTTGACCATATAATCACTTTTTTCCGTGTTTGATCAAAAGAGGAGAAAAACTTGTTTGACTAAGTTTAGAAAAAATAAGTTCTCTTCTAAGTTTTGCATCACCGAATTATTTTAGATAATTACTTGAATAAGTAATTAAAGTTACTTTCTTCAAATAAATTTTACTTTATCATCGAAATAAGTAAAAAAAAAAAAAAGAGAAAAACACAAGTAAACGTCCGCATGAGAAGAAGAATCTACTAATTGATTTCCAAGGTGCTAAATGGATGCTATTTATATATATATATATAATTTGGGATAATCGTCTAATATTTTACCTCTCAAAAGTAGCCCATATGTTATCTATGTGCGATACTATCGACCTTTTACAAAAAGTGGGATCGATAACAAATTTTGGTCGCTGACCTTTTTTTTTTACACGGAGTCCTGAACTTACGATTTTTGTGAGCAACACGATTTCCGTCTAATTGATCGTTAAATGTCGATTTTTTATATAAAATAACTACAATATTCTTACTTTTAGTTAAATAAATTGAACATCGAAAAAAAAAATAGTCCATTTCCCAACTTATTTTCTTTCTTATCTTTCATTATAGCTTAGGCCACTAAATTTGGCCGGTAACTTCAAAAGCATAGAAAGATACAACTTTTTTGATATTGTGGTCTCAATTTTTACTTATAAGGACACCATTTGTGATTTGTCCTCTTCGAGTAGGTCATGAATTTGACTTATTTCACGTTGCATGAATAGATCCACTTCCCAAATTATATAACCTAACAAGGCTTCTAGAATTGTTTGGGAAAATTTATTCTCTTTCTTGTTGCGTTAAGCTTCGGCCGCCGCCACACACGGCGAGCCTTGGCCGTGCACCACCCATTTTGTTGAAGCATTTAATATATTTATTTATCTTCCACGTGTTTAGTCTGTAATCTTCATTTCTTCTTCGTTTTAAAATGAGTCGACTTATAATACAACATAGAGGGTGTGTGTGACAGAAATTATAATTTCTTATAAGCTGATCAAAATCTATTTTCATCTACGCGTTATGTAGAACTCAAAACTTTTATGTACTTAATTTTTCAAACATTTTGTAGGATTCACACGAATTCCTTTCGTAACTTATTTTCTTATTTTTCATAATCGATTAGGTCACGGAATTTGACTTGTTTCGTGTAAGATAAAATCATTTTCCCGACTTTGCTATAACAATTACGAAATATAGAGAAAATCCATTAAATAATTTTATTTTAAATAAATAAAATAATCATTAATTCTAGAGGTGTCAATCCGGGTGGTCCGGGCCGGATCGGCCCGTCAACATGTGAGCCCGGAAACGGCCCGCGTGAAAAAAAGCCCGCCCGATGCGGGTTCCGGGCGGGTTACGGGTCGGCCCACAATTTTGGACTACAACTCAGGCCCGCCCGCTGACCCATCCGGGTCGAGCCCATGCGGATCACGGGTCGCGCGGGTCGCGGTTTGTTCCGGTTTGGCCCGTATGATTGTATAAATAAAATTATAAAAATATAGAATTTTTCCGGTTTGGCCCATATGGAGAGCAACTATCATTGAAAATAAGATTTTGAGAAGAAGAATCGCGAGAATCCATAATATAGTAGGATTAAAAAATTTAGTAGTGACTAGTGAGAACCGAGAAGAAAGAAATATAATCAAGATGATGATGATATTTGCAATTGAATAATTGTAATTGTAGTAAGGTAGTAACAAGTATGAACTATGAAGTATAAATGTATAATAACTAATGAGAGGGTATTGTAAAAATAAATGTAAGAATAAATTGGAATTTATCGATGAAGGGGATGATATTACCGTTAGAAAATTTATATTACCATTAGTTAAAATTNAATAGTCTAGATATCAGTATATCATAGTTCCTATTAAATGGGTCGTAATTTCCTTTATTTAATTGAACATATAATTCAATATAACTAGTGCTAGCATCTAGACTGATAATAAACATTAGCGATGTTGAATAACGTTACTTTAAAAATTAAGGCAGAAGACTTGTTCGTCACTTTGGAAACAAAAAAAAAACATGCTCACGCTCACGCACAAAAATAGTGATAATACTTAGAATATGTCTAAAGTCCTCCATTGGTCCCAGACACAATTGATTATGGCTATAATATTACTTAGAGTGCGTATGATTTAGATTTTTTAAGAATGAAATTCGTGAAGAGTGATATATTGGGAGAACATGTAGTTAAAAAATAGAAAAAAAAATTATAGATTCATGTACAGAATTATTTTATTGAGAAGATGTGTGATTGAAAATAAATTTTAAAGATCTCAAAAAAATACAGAAGTTCGGATTTTGAAGAGAGAAAAAGAAGTATAAAAATATGGAATTCTGCTGCATGTACAGTCCTTAATGGACTATACATTGTACAGCCCACACTGATTAGTGTGGGCTGTAAGGACTGTACACGCAGCAGAATTCTTATTTTAAATGTCATATCATTTCATTTTTTCGATTAAATAACAAAGTGTATCATCATTGTTATGCATAAATTGTCAATGGACTTTCGAGTCCTTTATTTAGAGATATATGAAATCATTCGAGAATTTAAGATAACCTAAAATTGATGTGTCATTTGATCACCGATACACTCCATAAGAGAAAGATTGTATGAAGTGTTTATTTTATTTTTATATATCCGTGTATGAAAATTGCACACATCTTACTGGATATTTTTAAATACTTACTCTTACAAAAATTTAAAGGTTAGCTCGAGTCAATTGGAATAGTGATGGTATGGTGATGCAAACTGTCGAGGAATTGAAGAAATAAAAACATTAATTTTTTCCCTTTAATTTAATAATTAGATTTATTTATTCAAAGACGTGTTATTTAATTAGTGATTAGATTTTTTTTAAACGATAAAATTTTCATGTTTAGTTTAAAATTATGGATATTCCAATTATTTTTTATTAAGAAAATATTATTTTATCAATTCCGCATTTGATACAAAGAAAATTGAATTTTTGTAACACTTCAGTGTTCACGAAGTGTTACAAAAATTTGGGGTGTTACATTGTACCTTTCTACGTAGAGTACTAGAATTCTCTATAGAAAAGTTGGCAAAGTAATTTATTTATTAATTTTTATATTATTCAAGAAAACTTCTCCAATTGGCAATCTATTATGAAATGTAAGAAGAAAATGATTGAGGTGAAAGAATAGTCGGTAAATTTTGATATTTTATGGTTATCGAATTTAATGAAATTCTTTATTTTAATAAAATGACGTTCATTTTTGTGTCATTTTTATCATAAATAACTCACTTAAGCCGTCAATTTTGTTTGAATTAATGGTTTGAATTAATGGATCTGACAAATGAATTTTTAACCAACTTTGCGAGCCATTTTCTGTGGGTCCCGTAAATAATTAAAAGCATTAATGAGGTGGCCGTGAAGAGATTATGACGATATCTTAAGTTGGCTAAACGAAGTATATAAATGTAAAATGAGTTGGTAAATGGAACTTTCAATCCCCGTCCAGAAAATTCCCAATGGAGTGGGGTTGGTAACTGCTACCCCAATCCCAACCCCGCCTAGTTGTCATCCCTAGTGCAACATTTATCTGAGGTATATATGTATAAACATCTCGAGGAAAATAAGACTAGCATGTTTGACAAGGCCAAGTCATTAGCACCACTCTGGTATTTCAAGAAGAAAAAGAGCTAAATTTTGACCAATTATATCGTCCATTTCGGTAGAATAGTTCTTACCAAACATGTAGCATATGTACACTCGACTATTTACATCATGCTGTCCTATGTTTACAAAAATGGACATGGTATTTAAGATTGCACAACTGAATAAGTTTATGATGCTATGAACTTTTTCCTATCTCGTCTTCCTTTTGTTAAATGATGCACACTTTTAAGCAGGCATTTGCTCCGTTATGAGTTTTCTTAAACTCCAACATTTTCTATCTTAAAGTATTTTGTTCAGTGATATTCACAATAACTATAGCAGTTCGGTTAAAATACCGTGCAGTAAAGCCATTAGCAGCAAAGAGAACAGAACCATTGGGACATTGAGAATGCAACCTCGGGCTATAGAGTGAGCACCGACTAGATGTACTGACCCAGTAAGTTCATCCTTCAATTTAATGCTTGACGAGCCTGGAGTCAACAAGAAATTTAGACAATAAAACGTCAAGATTTATGACAATATTCATCCACAAGGTTTTGTGCAGAAAATTGGAAGTCTAAGCATTGCATTTGTACGGGATATACAGATATATTACAACCGCATAACTTGTCTAACTTGAAGTGGGAAGCATTGCGAACATCGACATGATGTCTAATGTTCTTCTGTTTGAACCTAAAGATTAAAACAGAATCTACTCCAATTTCCCTAGAATGAAGGATTTTCAAGTCAATACAAATAAATTGCAACACAATTCCTGAAATCATAGCTTTAGTGTAGAAATTTTATGCACACATCATCATATCACAATTTAGATACTCAGAAGTGCCTTTTTGAGAACTGCGTAAGGAAAAGCACAAGAACACGAGAGCCACTTCGAAGAAATTCTTTAAGGAACCATTAGTTGAATCTGTTGAAAAATATGTGCTCCAAAACAGGGCATTACTAAGCAACAATTCCTTAGCTTGAAAAACCTCTCTTATTTTTCATACACAGCATCCTTATTTTAGTTAGTTAACAGACATAACACATTGGTCAAGGGGCCCATGTTATGACGTAATAATCAAGTCCCATGGCAAAGTAGACATTCTCAAATTGAAGAAAAGAACCAAGAAAAGAAAAGGAAAGTGAAGCGATGAAAGAAAACTGACTACACCAGATAGTCAGATACTGTAACAGGGATTTGCAAATGTAGCTTGAATATCTATATAATACTCAGAAAGATCCAAAATACTCATTTCCAATTTCCAGATACGGTATACTCATCATCACCCAATTATAAGTAACAACCCACAACTCACACCAGCCATGTTTAGTTGAAGAAAGCAAAACAACAGTTAGCAGGAGAGATTTCGTGCTTTCCCATTCTCCACCACATATAGCATCAATTTATCAATTAACTGATACTATTTCCCAGGGCTATTAAGTGGGCTATGGGAAGCTATTATTAGTTGTAATATGTGAGGTCTTCCAAGACAAGAATTTTACAACAATCCATAATAGGCCTCCGGAAGTCAGACATAATTATAATTTATGTTACACGGTTCTTAATTTTTTAAGAATGGGAAAAATTCTACAGGAGTACGACAGTGACAGTGAAAGTGACAAAATGATTAGAAAACATAAAATTGGTATATGAAACCTAGAGATTAGTCTCCAGGATGGGATTTTTCGTTGGTTGGTTTGGTTTGGTTTTAGCCCCTGTTTGATAGAGATTAAAATCAGATTTTTATAAAAAATTTGATAAAAATTGATGAAATGTGTGGTTGAAAAGTTGTGAATCCCATAAAATGTGTGGTTAAAATTAATTGTTAACTTTGACTTGAAATTTTAATTGGATTTTAATCCAAACCAAACGAGGGCTTAATTTAATTGAAAAAGGCGCAACAGGTTCTGAAAATTTAGGGATTTATGAGCAATCCATAGTCAACTTTTTTAAATGTTAAATCCCATCTTGGATCACCCAAGAATATTGATGTGAATTTAAATACAGCTAATTATGTTGACACCTAGAACAACTTCAAATCAACCCTCCTGTTTGGAATCCAGCAAGAAAGTGAAGATAAAGGATATTGACTATAATCATTTACATTTACATTAGATTATAGATGCCCAATCCCATTATCTGTATGCGCATATACTTACAGTTATATTCAGTCCATCCAATTGTTTGGTTTTCTAGATCATAGAGGACCAGCTTATTTGAAAGAACCAAATCTGTAAACATCCATAGAAATGAAATTAGACTAAAGCAGCAAAAGGCTATCAAATGATATGTGCATCAGACCAAAAAGAAATACAAAATGACTGAAAAATATTGTATAGGCTTTATGAGGTTCTGGGAAAATCTCTACGAATTCTTCCCAAAGGTACAGAAACTCATCTTAACCAGGTATAGCACTAAAATTTATTAACTAATACTAAATGAGTACCAAGTATTTTTACGACAATGATAGCAGCCATAATTGTTGTAAGTGGTTCTACAAACAAATGTCAAAATTTATACACTACAAATGTTGCATCTGTTCTGTTCTTTTTAATGACATAAATATTCTTTAGTTCTGCTCATTTTTAATAGCGTCACGAGCAACACCATAACCCCTAATTGACAAAGTGGATGCTCTCCTAAATCCAAACAGATGTCAGTTAAAAGTGATCCAGAAATAAGATGAGAGCGATTCAGAAAACCTGAGAGATATTGAGCAGTTTGGTTAAAAACTAAAGTATCATCAATGTTGGCTCTAGGTACAAATTATTAGTTGCTAAATAAATTGAAAAGTTATAAGCCAACACAAGTTTTAAGGTTGAAGTGACATCTGAATTAAAGAGAGCAGGGTCTAAAAAATTCATAAAGTGAAAAAGGAAGAGAACAGCAATAAACAATTTGATAATCAGAATTAAAAGAAGTAGCTTGAAAAAATCACATGTATACCTCCTAAAAGAGTAATGTTCTGTTTATCCCGGGATTGCATTCCGCTATTTTGAAAACCAAGACACATCAAGTCTTCCTGTCAAAAAATGTAGCAAAATTAATGGTGTTGATTCATTTATATTGTACAGATTCAGGGCATAAGCTCTGATGATGGGGGAAGAGAGAAAGGGAGGAGAGATTTTGCAAGAAAAGAAATTCATCAAGAAATTCTAGAAAAACGTTGGTAATGTATTTGCCGACATAACTTGAACTTATTTTCTCTTTCATGTTGGTGGTAGTGAGAAACTTCAACCATATAATTTACCCAGCATGAACTTAATGATAATCTGTGAATTACCATTTGCAAAATTTTTCCAGGCTTATGTTGAAAACCCTTTTGCATACTTTTAACCTAAGTTGCATGGACACGTGACACGGATATGACATAACACAGAGCGACGCGTGATTTTTTTAGATTGTAGGTTACACAGACACGTTGGTTAAACATCAATCAAAATTCCTTAAATTCTTAAGTTTATATATTATATCTTTATTTTTATACTTAATATAGGACATGGAAAATGTCATATCGAACACTTGCCCAAGGAATGTCCCTAAAGTATCATTCGAAATTTAAAAAAATATATAATAAATAGAACACAACATGTGGCATGTGGGACCAATGTCCTGGAGTGTCCGAGGATTGTCATTATACAACGCGACACGTGTTGGATATGGACAAGTTTTTCTAGTAGAAATGTCCATGCATCATAATTTTTAACAATGCCATAAAAATTAAATACAGACACTAGGGAGGGCAAACGCACGTATCAGATCCTTTATTTTGTCAATTCATTTGTTGCAACAATCTCTAAAGTAGGGATGCTATAGAGGTAGTTGTATAGAATCAAGTGGAGGTGATAACGACATAGGATGCAAGAGTAGAATTAGGGCTGGACAAAAATCAATCTGAACCGGTCAAACCGATCAACCCAACCCAAACCAATCGGTTTGGATTGGTTTTTTAGTTCAATTGGGTTGGGTTGGGTTGGGTTTGGGTTTGAAAATCAAATTTTAGGTCCGATTGGGTTGAGTTCCGGGTTATCTATTAAACCCCAACCCAACCCAACGTAATAAATAAAAAAAATTTAAAAAGAAAATTATTACTTAAAAACAAAAACCTAAAACTTATTGATAAAAATTCTCTTGTGCCTCGCGTCTCTTCTGCATCTCATTACTGCTCGTGCCTCGACTTCTCGACTGGATTTTTTGACGTGATTTTTGAATAAACACTTGAATTGAAGGAGGTGATTTTGTATTGAGTTTGGATGATTTAACATTTTTAGTATTTATGTTGATTTCATTTTATTCAATAGGTATAATTTGCAAGTATTCAACATGTATTTAGATTGATTTAATATGTATTTAATTTGATCATGATATGATTTATTTAAGAGATTTTACAATATTTTTAATTTATATTATTCTATTGGAATGTAATTTCACCCCCACAGGCCATTGATCCAACTTCAATCGACTTGAGACTAGGGAAGGCAAAAAAACTCGGCGGCTCGAGCTCGGCTCGGCTCGGCTCGGAAAAAGCCCGAGCCGGGCCCGGCTCGGGCTCGGTGGCACCGAGCCGAGGCTCGGGCCGANTTCAAATTCAACGAAAAATGTCACAGCCATTGGGCTCATAAAAAAATTGTCCAACTTGAATTGTACTCAAGTCCAAACCAATCAACCTAACCTAAACTAACCTGAGTTTGGTCGGTTTGGATTGGGTTGGATTTTAACCATGAATGAATTGGTTTCAGTTTGAATCATTGTTAAACCGAACATGTTAGGTTGGGTTGGACTCGAAACCAATCCAACCCAACCCAACCCTAAGTAGAATTATATAAGAGAAGAAGATAAAGGAGAGGAAAATAGAGAAGAATTGAGGGCAAAAGGAAATCAATTTATTTCATATAATCAGGTTGTTTTATTACAATGCAAAAGACCTCTTTATATAGGGTTTCAAAAGATCTTATTCTAAGTAAGAAATACTATAAAATAAAACTATAATTATGTTTCCTAAAATAAGCACTCAAAGTTGGAAACTAAACTAAATAATATCCCTTCTAATATTCCACAGATAAGGTATGTTTAGGGAGAGCCCGAGAGAAAGGATGGGAGGTCTAATGAGAGGATTTTCTAAAGGATGTTTATAGCAGGATGATTAAAGAATACCAGTAAAAGAAGATGTATCATACTTGGGATAGAAGATGCATCAGATTAGAGGTTCTCAAAAGCCCCAACAAGTTATCTGGGTATCCTTTCTACATTCCATCGGAAAATAGTGTGTAAGATCATAGGGGAAACTTAATACCCATTCATTTTTGTGCCTAAGAAAACTGGGGATTCAACGGTCATAGACTTGTCTTACAAGTTGACACTGAATCTGAACCTATCAAATCCATTAAATCTGCCAAACATGCAGAAATTAGGCAACAATTAGATGCCATCCTTATATTTCTCCATAATCACTAAAATACAAAACTGTCACTTTCTCAAAAGCCAAAGAAACCTAAAATAGTCAACTGACACACCACTACTTCCTAACAAGGATGGGCTTGAAGATTACTTATCTAAGGACCCAGGAGACAGCACACAGTGACCGAGGCAATTTTCTAGTGCTGCTCTTCTTTTATGAATCAATAGACAATAAATACATTGAATTATACTTCCCCGAGAGTAGAGGACGTGGTGCACTTGAAGTGCCTTAGTAGTTATTTATTGGAGTTTAGAGGAATTCAATCCGTAACTTTTATATCTGCCCATATAAACAGATCACCAAGTGACACCATGAGAACGCATATTTGATAATACGTGGGCTACTTCCAAAAATTTGACTACTTTTCACCAGCTAAGACTCATAAATGAAAAGGGCAGCAACAATTGATTACAGAAACAGAAATGTTTTCTGAAAGCCAAAATTAACTTTAATTACCAATTTGAACAATCAATAAGTAAAGCGAGTAACAATATTGTTCTGTCAAATCTCTACAAACTTCTATCAAACGAGAAAGAGGCAGTTTTTAATTCTAAATATTCATGTGTGTCAGTGAAGGCTTCTTAATTAAACCTAATATCTCAAATTATATGTGACGGTGCAGGCTTCTTAACACAGGTAGCAGCATTGAGGATCAGGAAATTTCTCTTATTTTGTATCATCATGCTATTTCATTGTAAAAAAGTTTCTCTTTTCATTTAGTTATTGTAATGCTGATAATTAATTGAAGCACCATCCCTGACTTGTAGTAATCACAGGTGTACATCCTAAGCCTTATGATTGGGGGACCAATACTGATGCTAGAGAGACCCTAGAGAAGAAACAGAAGTAGTGTTGGAACTTATAGAGATCATATCGATAACAAAGTGATTATGCGTGACATGAGATTGCAGCTTCAAAAGAAATCCAAACTTTTAACAGCTTGTAATATCTTTCTCATAATGAAACCCAACATTTTAACCACGAGTAAAATCACAGAAGTTTCAACAGCAAAAAATGTAATTAGAGCAATAATGGATAGCGCAAAACAACCATGCTAAATAATAGAATGTACTTACAAAAGGGAACAGGTATTCACGAGGATAAACATTCAGATGAAGCGACTTTTCAAAATGAAAAGTGACAGGAGGAAACGCATCATCAACGCTGCAGCAGATATGAACAAAAGTAAAACCATGTTAATCAGCTGGTTTCCTAGTTTTTTTCAGAAACTTCTGCAAACATACTGGTCTGAATGGAGATACATGCAAATGACCAAAATTTTAGATCATACGAAGTAATGTAGAAGGGAAATGCCAAATCAGAGAGTTGAAGGAATGCATTTTCTTAAACGAAACGAGTAAAATGTTAATGCCATTTTCCAGCTATCAAAAGAAGTAATAAGTACTTTCTTATTTAAATTCTTGTTATACAAAAACTAGTCTAGACAAGTAACATAATAACAATTTCAAGTTACTCAACATCCTGTTCAACATTAAACAAAAATATTTACTGAAAACAAATGGAGTTGAATTCTTGGTTTTCTTAGTGACTACAAATGTCCAAAACATGAGAATACTATGCTTCTATCTCAGCCGTGTTAAGACAAACGAATTTGGGAGGAATACTTTTTTCTCTTTTCATTTCAGTTTCCCTTGATAGCATAAGACAGTTAAGCTGCCAGATTTAAAAACTAGGTAAAAAAAAACAAAAAGTATTGACAACTATTGTATAACGTTGTGAAGAACTGAGATCAGTTAGTCACGGATTGTTCCCAAAATTGTCCATCCAGAAAAGACATGATAAATCCAGGACCTACGACATTCAATTTCCTCAAAGCCAAGCTTCTTGATGCTTAACAAGTTAGCCCTTGGACTTCTTGGAATGTAATAAGCCAATCAAACAAGCAAGTTGCAGGAAGGCCCTGTAATGCTATAACACTCTCCTTCCGCCTTCAAACACCAAATATCTTCCCTGTTGCAGTGAAGTCTATGGTAGTAGAGTGCAGCCGAACAAAGAAGTTGGTTTACAAAAGGGAAAAATTCAAGAGATTGAAAAGCTGTTACAATTAAGAAAGCAATAAAGAAAGGAAAAAAGGAAAATAGTATGAATTATTGTAGGGATACTGTTGATGCAAGTTCTAGTGCAGAACAATTTGTAAGTTTTCATACTTAAACAGGGTATGGGCAATATGTTTAATGCTTCTATTACCTTGGCACATATTTCTTTTTTACATGTCGGCATTCTTCACTGAACATGAAAATATGAATGCAGATCGTAGACTAGTATTCGTACCACCTACAGTTGAGCTGATTAATACTGTATAGAGTTAAGAAAATGTATTGATCTGAAAATCGAATTTATTACAAATATTAGGTTCTTTTGCCTCCTGAAACCCGATGATTATCAGTCATCACATAGTCATTCCTTTCATTTTTTAATCCCTTTACTTCTCATGGTATTCCGTTTGCAAGCTATATTAATATTTTTTCAAGTTTAGCAAGCATTTTCAGTGTGTTCGCCAGCTAAAAATAGCTCGAAGTGAAAATAGAAGAAAAACTATGTACAAGTTACTTTAAAAAGGTTAAAGACTGCGCCATTTTTTATGAAAGATAATTTAATCTGTAGAAGGAAAACAGATAAATAGATCGAGGAGTCCTCTAATGCATAGAAGAAAACAAAAATCAAATAATGATCACCATCCATGCTGTGTGTCTGAAAGAGCTAAATACCTAAAAGATCCAGCAGCTTTTGCTCTTAAGGATAAGAAAATCACCCAAAACCCATATAGTACCAATGAAGATAATACTCCTAAAAGACTTAGTGGATAGAACTACAGATTTGAAAGAATAAAAGATATAGGTCAACAAACCAGGCCTATTAAAGTGCGAAGATACATAAAAACTAATGTTTAGTGCGAGAGAATTACTGAATGATGCCAGGTTCATCTCTTCTAGATCACTAAGATTGAGAGAAGTGTAAATTCTAAGATATGGATATTATTAATCGCTACAAAAATTATAGCAGGCAAATCAATTAAGTTCAAATTATGTAGGAAAGCATCAACAGATAACCAACCATACCTTCCTGAATAATCAAAGCAAGTGTATATGTCATGAAGAGTTTGCAGTTTCAAATCCAACTGCCAGGAGAGTATCTAACAACCACGAAACACAAAATTGGAGTGCGTTCTCTTCAATTAAAGCAATATAAGTTAATTTCATTGAAACAATAAAACACAAGATACCTTTTTCACTAATGGTACATAAATCACCTCTGGAAGATATGCCAAGGTAGTACCACTATCAATTATTGCTCCTTTATTGTCCCCATCCGTATATATATCTGTTGTAATATTCAGAAAATCCAGACCGACTTGAACTGCAGTCATATTTACATTGTAATGGGGCCTACAATTTATATAACAATTTTAGTTTAAGAGCTAGAATTTAAAAACTAAGACTAAGTGATATAAAAGATTAGTAAAAATGCTGAATGCAAAAAGTCATTTCATAGAGAAACTGGTGCAACAAATCAGAATGGACAAATGGTCCTACAAAATAAAACTAACTTTTGAACCACTGCAAACTTAATGAATTAGAAATAGCATTATTTACTTCTGTCAGAAGTTCTAAGTAGCCTAAAAGAGGAATTCTCATAGTTTCCTAAGTTTTCTTCTATTAGTCCTAGTAAGATGAGGAAAATTCATTAATTCAAGCAGCCCACAAAGTTTAACTAAACACAGGTTATGGTATGATTCTCTGACAATCCCATTCCCTGGAAAGGGTTTCCAAATTTTCAATGCTATTATATATTATCCTTTCCTTTATTCTGTTCTTTGATATGTTTTCTATTCCATATTCTTATATTTATCTTCTAAAGAATTTTGTTTCAAATACAAATTTCCCATAGGAACAATTTTCCTCCAAATAAATAAACACTAATGTACCAAGAATTTTTGACCAAATAATGAAAGGCAGGCTATCAACAATCTGATCCGTCCATTAATCATTGCAAGACACTTCTAATTAATAATTTCCTTATACTTTTTTCACAAGTTTCTTCAAAATGCATCCCTGAATTCTCAACACTGAGCGCCCATTTCTAAGGAGTGTGTTTTCTCCACGCTTCACCTCTATCAGGTTTTTTCAAATTCAAATATTTTTTTTTTGAAAGGTAATCGAATATTATATTAATCAAAGTTGATACACAGGATGTGTATCATCAATACAAATCAGAAAGGAAACAACAAAAATTGGGCAGCCCATCTATATGCCTAATAGCCACAACATTAAACCAAGTATACAATGTCAAATAAAACAACTCCTTAAACTGCTCTACTGTTCGTGTTTGGTCCTCAAAACAACATCAATTTCTTTCTCTCCATATACACCACACGATGCAACTCGGAATAAGGTCCCATACCACTTTGCTATCCTTATCGTGCAACTTTCTCCTCCATGTCTTTAACATGTCCTCCATACGCCTAAACATCACCCAAATCATATGTTGCGACATCAAAACATCGTTCCACAATAAACGAGCAGCATCACAATGAAGAAATAAGTGATCAATCGTCTCCCCGTCCCTTTTACACATATAGCACCACCCTGTAACATAAAAACCCCTTGTGCGAAGGTTATCCACCGTTAACACCTGTCCTCTTACCACCGTCCATAATAAAAATGCCACTTGTGGAGGCAGCTTACCCAATAGGGCCTTATTAAACACTACAAGACTTCTCAAACCGAGACCACCGAGTCTAAGTGGAGAACAAACCACACGTCAATTAACCAAATGCAACTTCCTTTCCTCTCCTAATCCTCCCCAAAGAAACTCTCTTTGGATCCTCTCTAATCTTTTTGCCACTGCGACAGGAGTATTAGCATGACGAAGGAAGAGCATTGAAAAGGCTTTCAATAATCACAAGAAAATTTTGAAGCCAAATATGACCATTAAAGAAAGTTTAAACAAACAGATCTAGTATTCCTGGATCAAACTAATGTTGGTTATATAGCCATTGATGTATTTCTCTATGTGATAAACAAGGAAAACTTAGAATTGAAGCAAACAAAATAAGAGTAACAGAAAGTTAATCCATAGACTTCCAGGAGACAAGAGTATAGAATTAGAATCAAGAGCAAGATCCAACATACTGATTTGGTACCAGTGGCGTTGTGTTCACTTGTGGTTGAACAACATGCCCAATGGCAAAGATGCCTCCACCATTCACGCCATCTAAACAATGCGCAAACATCTTTCTTACTCTTCCAGAAGACGCTAGCTGTGAAATCATGGATGAATTTGTTTTTCCAAAACCAAGTATCCCATCAAGTGCATCATCAGATGATCCTAGATCCTCAGATCTGGCACCACATCTGCCGGAAAAAACATTACACAGGATGATTGCTGAAACAGCATAATATATATATTTTCTAAATGATCAAAGAAAGCTAAATTAGCTAAGAAAGATGAGAATTCTGCCATTACTTTATGGGTCATGTACAGACAGGTAATAAAACATTTATATAAGCCCTGTACATTTCAATGCAACAGACGATATAGCAAACAATTTTAATCAATTGAAGGAAGAAATAAACAGACAATAAACTTCACTAAAAAAAATTAAATGGGACAAGACAAGAAAAAGGAGATGTAACCACAACATAAAAAAATTGAAAAGTTGCTTAACAAATGTCCTATCCACTAGGCCATAAGAAATCCGTTGGTAATGTCAGTTTGTCAAGGTCTGATGGGCATAATATATTTTTCTCTTAAAAGTAATTTTGTTAGTTACACATTACGATAATATTAGTTAATTAATATGTTTGGGACCAGCTCAATAAAATAAAGATGAAGAGATAAATAACAAAAAATGAAAGAAAAAAAGAGCACAAAATGTTTTGAAATGTCCAACTGTCAGAGCGAGCATGTTACAAAAAATGTTGAATGAAGAGGAATTAAAGATTCCGTCAACCTCTGAGGTCATTGAAGCATGGGAGACAGTTTTGCAGAAACTGCTTTAAAATTTTGATTCTTTAAGGGATTGTGGTATTCCTATAGCAAGGAGATGAAGGCCCATCTCAGCACAATGATGTTTCAGTCATTGTATTACATTCTAGTCAACAAATAAGGTCGAAACTGGATGTGGATTTTTATGTTTAAAATTTTCAATTAAAATCTTTTATTTCGAAATTTAAGGGTGTGTTCGGTTAGGATTAAAATCCAATTAAAATTGAAAATATAGTCGTTATTGGGTCTCACTCGTCTAATAAAAGTCAACAATAGCGTCTAGTTTTTCAATTTTAATCCGATTTTAATCTCTACCAAACACACTCTAAATCTCTGTTGAACCACTTGATCTAAAAGTTTTAATACTTGATAACTGGATGTGGATTTTTATGTTTAAAAATTTCAATTAAAATCTTTTGTTTCGAAATTTAAATTTCTGTTGAACCACTTGATCTAAAAGTTTTAATACTTGATATAAAAGCTCAAGTTGATAGATCAAGTCTCGTAGAGGGGATTTATACCCATCAAAGTCTTACAAGTCCACAATTTGATTTAAATGGATGGCGGCTAGACTCACGAATTTTGTCCGCTCTGATACCATGTTAAACTACTTGATCTAAAAGTCACAAATATATCATTCAAATAGTGTCTTCAACAACATCTAAAGTAAAGGCATTCAAATGGACCTTCTAAAGAAAATCAATTCGAATAATATGTACAAGAGCGTAGGTCTCCTCTAAAAAAAATGTGCATGGATCTTAATAAGACTTGTAACCTGATATTTACAACACGTGCCGAGTAAGTAACAAATGCACTTTCATACTTCTGCCTAAATTACGTTTGCTAGGTATACATGGTGGAGATTATTTGGAATTTTGGTGAGTAAGGTCATATCTCCATTAGCTAAACCCTTTCTTACCTTGCCTTTTGACTCGTATTTTGTTCACAAACACCATAAAGTATGGAAAGTGTCAAAGATAGGGAACTACCCAGGGAAGAGTTAGGAACTTCTACAAGGAGATGTGAGAATCACTTAAATGGAGTCCTACCTACATTTCTGGCTGTTAAATTACACATGAAGTTTTGCAGGTAAAAAAGTAAAGAGACTATATAAGGTAAAGCAGGGCAGATGCTTGCAGTTTCTAGCACTCAGATTGCCTCATGGTGCTTTTAGCCCTTCCATACCAATTGTATAAGGGATAATATGGTTAGGCTGACTCCAAGTATCCACACGATAAATAACATCATAAATTCTTGTTAGGCATAGAAGGTGCCCTTATTAGAACTCCTTGAAATTTTAAAGATTTCAGCATTAGATTTATAACATACCCAAAAATAACACTTCCATTTGCCGATTTGGTCTGAAGATCACCAGAGACTCGATCATATTGGACGATGTCTTCTACAAAATAGCCCATGCTATAGCTCCCGTCACCATAAGCCTCAGTATACAAACAAGATGAATTTGCACTGCAACCTGAAAACGAGCTTCTCGATATCTCCTTGCAGAATTCTTGATCACATGTTACCAGTTTCCCAGTGAGAGAGTCATTTGGATCATAAAGGGTGAGTTCTATCTGTCAAACATTAAAACAAATCTGGTAAATAAAAAAATTAAAAGTGAAGCATCTAGAACCTTTCATTCTTGTGAAATGCATTAAAGCTCATTGAAAGTACAAAAGAAATGTAGAAAAGAAGAAGATTAGGGTCATACGCCATGGTAGCCCCTTTTGGGGCATTCGTGGCATTGGATGCAATTAACCCATGTTATGTCGCTCCCTGTATCAACTTGCACATAGTAATCCTTGGGGGGCGTTCCAATCCCTATTTTAGCATAGTAGAGCCTGCAACATGGACAAGCAACACAAAATGAGCACAACTGCAACACTTACATATGAGATTCACGATTTTATTCAAATGCACACACTTTTTTTCTGAAAATTCAAAAGGACATAATGTCTTTGTTCTAAATTAGCGTCAAAAGCTCTATAAACTCATTTGACAGACAAATATATATATATATATAACACGTGCAGAACCAGAAAAATTATTCAAGTTTGCTACTGTTCGTCAGCGTTAAATGATGTCTACCGAAGCAATAATTTCTCTATACATTTGTAGTGATGAGATTAACTGATATATGTTTTCACATCGAATAATGCTATGTGTACACCCATTGGTGTACACAATGCATTACACCCCCCTCACATAGAGGGGGCCACAGATATTTCATTGTGTGCGGGCCCTCCTCCATTAGGGGGGTGTACACCATTGTGTACACATAGCACAACCCTTTGACATATGTCAATGTGGGAGGGATGAGGAAATAGCATAATGCACATGCATGGATATCTCTATATGCTTTATTATTGGAAATGGAAATATGAATGTTGAATAAGTGTATGTATGTCAATGCACAGAATTATGGGGGAAATAAAAATAAAAACAATAAAAGAGCTTAAAATAACAAGGAAACTAAAGAATGAAGATATTGAGAAAATTGCATAAATGTGCCTTCAATGGTGCTAATTACTACATATGGGAGCAATCATAGATTGTAGTAGTTCGTCAACCTCTCCAACTAACATAAAATACAATTTCACTTCACAGAACGGCCAAATTGAAGAGCTTCACTCAGTTGGCCTTCCTACACTGACCAAAGAAGCAGTTGCTTACAATTAGATCACAATGTAAAGCAGTAGGCTATATAATTTCCTACAAATACGTTTTACACATCAATATGTAGATATGCATGTTCAAATGCTTAAGCATAAACTACAGCTCTACTTCAAAACGTACTATATGTCATTCAGTAAACACGTGCCGCCATTGTATCTGCATGCACAAATACATCTATATAATTTCTAAATCTAATCTGATGTTTTATCTTTTTACTTATTCAAAGTAACAATTCCATAAAAAAAAATTATCTAAATAGTAGCTTAATAAAAGAATGCATCTACTGTATTCAATTACTATGATTTTCACAATAACCCATTTTTCAAATTCATAATCCAAAGCAAAATTGCCACAGGGTCCTATGAAACAAAACTTCTAGACCTAATATGTTTTAATTCCCATAACTGATTTAATCCAAATTTCGATTTTGTACAAGTTTTTGATACAGTCCAAAATCCAGTTCCGATTCCAAAGTTTCTATTCCATAAAAATAGTTATCCAATCATAAACTCATACGATTTTCTCCACAACCCATATATTCAAAATCAAAACCAAACACGACCGAAAATTAAATACATTAAATTGAAATCAAAAGCAGAAAAAGCCCACCCAACGGCGTCGGGACGGCCGGTTCCTCCGAGAGGGAGATCAACGCCGGCGAGGATATTGAGATGACGTATATCATGAGCTCTAAGAGCACTAAGAGTCCTCTCCGAACCGGCGAATTTGTAACTAACTTTGAATACTCCCGCTCCCCCGCCATTGACCAACACCACCGTGTAATCGAAATTGAGCAGTAGAAGCAGAAAGCAGATGAAGAACCGTGAGTCCATTGTATGAATTTTGAAGATTTGATTAACTATTGTTTCATTTATTGGAAATAATCTTCTGAATGAATATATTCCTTGTAAAGGTGTAATTTCAAGTCTTCCGCTTGCCTGCTAATTGGGTCTTATCTTTGGTCCATTTAACCTGTCTCTGATCGATTTTAATAGAGCTTGATTTTGACTTGACTTTATTCATTGTAAATAAAAATGTTTATGAGAATACATAAATCTTAAAAGGGAGTATTTTTCACAATGATCGCGATGAAGATGCATTTTTATAAATTCTCTCTAAAAATAAATAACTCGTCCGATGATAATCCTCGAACNCCTCCGGGAGAGGCCACGAGTGACTAACGGCGTACTACGTGTGCAGGAAGAGCTGACTTGAAGACTTATCCTGTTGGCCACGTGTCCGAGCCATTTTTCGAGGTCAACAGAATGTTCTAATATCAATGTTTATTAAAATACTCAAACTGAAAAGTAGCTCAACCAACTCTCGAACCGACAAGGTGAGCAAGTAGTATGAGTTTCACAAGCAACGAACTCACCAAGTTCGACGAGTTGGACAAGTTGGCACTCTACTTGATTTAACAATTTGGCTAGTTTGGAAAGTCATCGAGATTTTGGATTTTTTGGATCTCTGAAATTGAAAGGGTACAAAAGATTAATACACAACTTGTTGAAGTATCGTTTATGTTAATTTCCTCTCTCGATAAATTGTATGGTCCAACGGGCTTATGATGCTAAATGGCTTTGGGCTTCAATTCCTAACAGAGAAAATTACCTTATATATTTAAAGTTCCAATTTCAAAAATCAAATTTTAATAGTTTTTTTTCTTTCAATAATCAGATCCTAATTATCTTTTAATGATATATAATACACACATATAAATATAATTTACACATACATATTATATACCTATAGGCTAAAGTTATCATTCCTTATCACATCACATCCCATCCCGTCCCATCCTATACACCACCTCCACCGCCCATAGAAAATTCTCTCTCAATATTTACAAGTGAAACTTTCTCTATCTATCATTTATCTCTCTACATAATTGCAAAAAAACTTGTAAAAAATGCTCTCTCTCTTCTCTCTCTCTCTCTCACACACACACACACCCACACACATCATTTGCTACTGAAACTTTCTCCCACTATCATTTATCTCTCTATAATTTTTCAATTTTTCAACGGATTGAGAAAACATACAAATCATCTCTCTCTAAAATATTTTTCTTTCTCTAGATCCATCACATATTTCTTCACATGGCAGCGCGAGTAAAGGTTCGTATACTATGCAGAATTCACTTTTTATGTTAATCTCTTTCTTTAGATCCCTCACATATTTTGACATCGATTGTTAATGAATTTCAAACCTTAAGCATGCTATATGATGGAATGACTATTAAACTCTGTTTAATAAGCTGTATTTTCTAGGGAAGTTGGAAATTATCAGTTTCTTTTCCAATTTTTTGTCTGTTTAACATACCAAATTTTCTAGGGAATTAGTTTTCTTATTTTAGCTCACGTGACCCCTTATTCTAGGAAATTGTAGAAATGAAATTTCCTTGGCTATGGTGGTTTTCATTTTCTTGGCAATTGAAAATCAGGTCACCACTTTCCCTTTTTCTTCTCACGCATTTCCCGTTCCCATTTACCTTCTCTACCCCATATCTGAAATACCTCCAAAATCAACCAAAAAAATCCTATTGTTGAAGGGGAGGAGTGCGTGGATTGCACCCAAGAAAACACAGAAGCTCTCGAAATTGGAAAACCCGCAAGAATCCCCAATTTCAGACCTAGGGGTTGCCAATCCAGGTTTGCTCTAAGCCTACTTCTCTCACGAACACTGGGTTTTGTTTTTTATTCACCAGGGTAAGAAGAAACAACCTCCAATTCTCATGTCCACGTTCTTGAATATATGAACCTAAGGTGATATCTTCTTCTAGATTCCATGGCCCTTTCTTTACAATAATCTTATCACAACAAGGTACTCTACCCATATTGAAAACTTATTCAAACCAGTCCTTCAGATCATGGTGAGTAGAAAATTACGCAAAGACAAACGTGTGACTGAGGGTGTGGACATTGTTTATGTGGGATATATAGAGAAGAGACAAATATGTTCAATATACATTGACTAACTCATTGAAAATTGAGACCAACTCTCTGTCCCTCGAGTCAATTTACTCATTTCATTTTAAAAGTCATCTGTGTGTTCAATGTGTGGTATTCATTTGCAGCACTTGTATTTCTTGTGTTTTAATTAGGGCAATCCAGTTTTAAGCCTTTCTTGTTAAATGTTAAGTAAATATTGAAAAAAAAATCGTTTTTACATATTTATTTGTATGAATTGGGATGTAAATTGAGCTTGCTTAGATTAAGTCTTTTTATGTTGCGGGATATACCTTTCTATGTGGATTTTAGTCATTTCGAGTTAAATTAATTTCTAGTGACATGTGTGAGTTTTCAAGTTATAGGAGCAATCCCGAAATTAAAGACATTTAATTTATCATCTTGAAACATGAACAAATCTCTCATTTTCTAATGTTTATTGTTCTGTTAAATTTTCATTATTGGATCTTGCGTAGAGTTTGTTGAGAGTTAAGTAGTTTACGAATTTATTTTTAATTTAAAAACCTATTTGATTACTTTTGAAGAGCCATTTTGAGTTGATAATTGGAGGTGGATTAGCTCATTTTCACCTATATTTTCGCGTTGACCATATACGTTTTCGTATTTTGTTAATTGTCAACAATAATTTACATCATATTGACACTTTTTAGACGTTGTTCTAAGTACCATGGCTACCACAAGGAGTCAACGTCGTCGCCGAATGCAACAATTGGGTCTATTTTGGATGATGGTCATGCAAGCAATTGTAATATATAATACCATCGGGCGTCGTAATCGACAACTCCCCAGAGCCCTACATAGAAATTGGGATTCTGAAAGAGAAATGACACTTACACGGATGTTTGGTACGAGTGATAGAATTTGTCATGATCTACTGAGGATGAAGATAGCTCCATTTCAAAGTTTATGTGCTCGTTTACGAACATATGGTTTGGTTGACAATAGATTTGTCGAAGTAGAGGAATAAGTGGCTATATTTCTCAACATCGTTGGACATGACCACTGTAATCGAACTGAAAGTTTTACGTTTTTTAGATCTAGTCAAACAGTGAGTTATTACTTCCATAGAGTTTTAAATGCTTGCCTTAGATTGTGTAGAGATGTTGTGAACAATGCCACTATTCATAACTCATATACGAGAAGGATAAAGAGAAGCCACAGTTCCAATATTTTCAGGTTAGGTGGTAATATTTAACTTCGTTTATTTTTCCTTCACGATCACTATTCCTTTTGTAACCAAACTTTTTTGTTCTCGTATTAGGATTCTATGGGGATAATCGATGGTACTCACATTCCTGCGAATGTCCCAGTAGAGGAACAGGTTAGGTATCGCAATAGGAAGCAAATGATAACTCAGAATGTTTTGATCGCTTGCACATTTGATATGAAGTTTACATTTGTGCGTACCGATTGGGAGGGATCCGCCCACGACGGTCGGTTGTTAAGGAGTGCAACTTTACGACAAGGTCATAGGCTAACAATTCTTATTGGTAAAATCTACTTTATGTTCGATAATTTGACTTTCACCTCTTTCAATGAAGAACGACAATTTAACAGCCATGTGTGGAGTAGGTAAATGTTATCTTGCCGATGCCGAATTTCTATTGGTTTCGGGATTTCTAGCACCCAACCTCCAAACTTGGTACCATCGTAAAGAAATCGAGGGACATTTGCCTGAAAGCAAGAAAGAGCTATTTAATTTTTGACATTCATGTCTACGAAATGTTGTGGAGAGGATTATTGGTTTGCTTAAAAAAAGATTCGCATATCTGAGGCATCAACCATACCACGACATTGAGACACAAGCAAGGATTGTGCTTGCTTGTTGTGCCATTCACAATTTCTTAAAGATTTATGACGCAGATGATCTTTGCGACGAGGACTATTATAGTAGCGATGATGAGATTAACCCTGGACATGTTGATGCATTCGAAGATGACACACTAAATGCTCCTATATCTTTCATAGCAGAAGCTACATGGTCTAGTAATAGGGATACAATGGCTGATGACATGTGGGTTGCTTACCATCTAAGTCATGATGCAGAAATTGATTTTGATTGAATCTACTATGTTTGTATATTTCATTATTTGTGTTTCCTTGTAATATTTGGAGATAAACTTGCTAGTATTAACATTTCTCTATTTTCAAGTGATAGTGTTGATGGCACAGAATCGACGAAACTCTATGGGCCATTTTCATGTTCCCAGACCGACCACCCCTTCAGACGGGAATTACATTGATTTTGGTAGATCTCAAGTGGAGCCTAATGCTAGGACTCGTCACGTACGTTGGAGTGATGAGATGGATAGTTTTATGATCACTTCACTTGTTGAACAAGTGTTGGCTGGGCACAAACGAAGTGACAATGGCTTTACTTCATTTCAAGTATCTAAGGCAATTGACAAGGTTCTCAATGGATGCGGGGTCATAGTTTCAAATAAGAATGTAAGGGCAAGGTTAAAGACTCTTAAAAAAGAGTATGCTGAAGTTCGCCAGTTGCTAAATATGAGCGGTTTTGGGTTGGATCCAGAAACTGGACGTATTGTGGCTGATGCCGTTGCTTGGGACAAGTTTATCAAGGTACGAAATATGACACATTTTGGACATTGCTACTAATAGCTACTGGGAAAATAGATGTTTTGGGACAGTTACAATATACTCACAAGGTTATTTTGCAGGGAAAGCCAAAATTTGGGAAGTGGAGGACCAAACTTTGTCCTAGATATACTGAGATGGAGACTATCTTTGGCAATGATACTGCCACCGGAGAGCGAACAGTGTCTGGCTTCGACCATTTCTCCCCAGTGAATGGTATGCAATGTATTTTACAGTACGATACTTTGATTATATTCATGTATAAA